AGCAGGGGGAAAAGAAAGGAGAGGGGAGGAGAGGGGAAGAGGGGAGGAGGAGAAGGGGAGGGAAGGAAGGGGAGAGTGGGAGGGAGGGGAGAAGGGAAGACAAGGGGAAGAAGAAGGGAGGTGGAGAGGAGAGGAGAGGAGAGGAGAGGAAGAGAAGTGGAAGAAGAGGAGAGAAGAGGAAGAGAAGGGGAAAAGAGGAGAGGAGAGGAAGAGAAGGGGGAGGGAAGGGGAAGAGAGGAGAGGAGAGGAAGAAAAGGGGAAAGAAGGGAAGGGGAAGGGGGAAGGGGAAGAGGGGAAGAGAAAGGGGGAAAGAGAAAGGAAGGGAAGGAAGGGAGGGAGAGAGAAAGAGAGAAAGAAAGAAAGAGAAAGGGGAGGGGAGAGGGGGGGATAAAAAGAGAAAGAAAAGAAAAGAAAAGAAAGAAACATCTGTGGATAAGTAACAAAGACTACAAAAAACATAAATCCTTAAAAGTAAGCCAAGGTTCATTTCAAAAGGCAATAGTTGTCTGGTAGAGTAAGAAACCAAGACGCCAATGAGCATTCCAAATCAGGTTATGTAGCCAGAACAAGAACGGATTCCATTCAAAACACACATATAATATATACACACAACCCCACACACACTAAGCTACAGATCATATAAAGTGAATCATACAAATTACCAGAGAGTGACCCTGAAATATGATGAAAGAGACATGAAAATATGATACCTAAACAGGAGAAAAGTCAATGAAAAGAAATGGATTTAGAAATGAGAAGATGAATCAGCAGATAAGAGTATTTAAATATTTATTAGAAATATTCTTCTTATATTCAACAAGGTAGAAGAAAGATGACCATCATGAGAAGATAAAGGTTTTTTAAAAAAAACCCAAATCAAATTTCTGAAATAAAAAATACACTGATGTAAAACTTAGCAAGCATGGTGGCACATGCCTGTAGTCCCAGCTACTCAGGGGCTGAGGCAGAAGGATTGCTTGGCTCAGGAATTTGAGGTTGCTGTGAGCTAGGCTGATGCCCAGCACTCTAGCCTGGCAACCCAGGGAGACTCTGTCTCAAAAAAAAAAAAAAAAAAACACACTGATGTGATAAACAATAAGTTTATGTGGGCTAACACAAGACATTTTTTCTCCATTCTTAGTCCCTTTAAAAAACACAGATTCTCCTTAACTTATGGTGGGGGTTACTTCCAAATAAACCCATCATAATTTGAAAATCATAGTCAAAATTGCATTTAATACACCTAACCTACTGAACATCATAGCTTGCCTAACAGACTTTAAACAATGTTAAGAACATGTACATTAGCTTAAATTTGGACAAAATCATCTAACATAAAAACTATTTTATAATAAAATGATGAATAGCCGCTCTGTAATTTATTGTACTAAAATCTCTGAATGTACCTAGGAAAAAGACGCTAGCTACTTTTAAATTATCTTACCAAAGAAATGTAGTAATCACTAAAGAGACAACTGTTCCTTCTATTGATTATCAGTATTGCTAAAACAGGGATCTACAATACACAGTGGCTCAAATTTACCAAGCATGAAATTTCCTAGTTTCTCTCATAGGTCAACAAGACACAATTCTATAAAATAGAAAAAAAAAAAAAAAAAAAAAGGCCTTGCCACACCTTAGTAACTCCTTCTAAGCAGAACTAACACAAGTTATGAGTTTTAAATTCTGTTATATATGGCTCATTAGATTTTAACTTTATTTCAAGATTACTGTTTGTTTTTAGTAGAGCACTTATGTGTTATGGTATTGAGCTAAAAACTGAGAATAATAAAGATCATGGTTACTGCCTTCAAGCAGTTCACATTTTACTGGGGCTGCCAGATAATTAACATTAATTACAATATAGGATCAAAGTGCTATAAAAGGGTCATTAAAGAGTCAGAGATAAAAAACCTGAAAAAGACTAAAGTCAGAGAACAACATACTTTAGCTGAGTCTCAAAGAATAAATTGGAGGTAGGTAAAAAAGGAAGACAGCATACTGAGCAGAGGGACCAGCAGGTTCAAAGGCATAGACGTGAGTGAGCATGAACTTGGGAAAACTGTAAAGCTAGGATTGCTGAAATGTAGGTCAAGTGTAGGTGGAAATGTGGGTGCCCAGAAAGATCAGGTAATACAGGAGACCATGTCAGGGATTAGAACATGAAAGAACGTTATGCACCACATCAAGGAGTTCAGATTTCAACCTTAATGTTACAAAGGATTTTTGTTTGTTTTTAATAAATAATTAAATCTTAGAAATATCACTCTAACCACAAGACAGAAGATAGATGGGAGACTGATATAAAGGGAAACAAGTTATATTTTATTAGTTTAATTCAGAAAAGAATTAATGAGGGTTTGAACTAAGTCAAGAGCAGTTAAATGGAAAAGGCAGACCAATTAGAGAGACATTGAGAGGCTAGATCATTAGGTCTTAATGATCAGAGAGAGTGGTCAGGGAGAAAAGACTAGAGAATAATTCCAAAGCTTAAAGTTTATGATTGACTGATAGGGAATTTTTTTAAAGGGGCCAGTATTGCTGGGGAAAATTATAAGTTCAGACACTTAGAACTTCAGATACCAAAGACCATCCAGGAAGAGATATCCAAAAAAGTAATTGGCAATGCTGAAGGTCTATAAATCAGGAGAAAGCTCATCTTAGAGACATAAATCATCTATATCTCTATAGACTTTCTTCTGAGAGTTACTGGAATCAGAATATGGATTGTAATTGAAGCTACAGATATGAATGAGAAAGTACACATGAGAAAAGCAACAACAAGCAAAAGATATTAAGTATGGTATATAAACATTTACAGGTGTTTGGAAAATGAAAACATTTAAAGAAGACTATGAATGATTTTTTGGAGAGGGGATGAAAATGATTCCCTGACTTAGCACTTAACAAATGTTTGATAGGTCCCAACCGTGTCATACTCTTCCAAGACAATAGTTGGAAAAAGAACCAGGAAAAAATGTTGTTGCAGATGCCATGATCTGTTATATCAACAGAATAATAGATCCTAGCATTTGTTTAAAAATACATAGTATTTAAAAATACATAGTATAGGTACAGGAAAGAAAACTTCAGGTTAAGAAAAACTGTCATTTGGATGGTATTCAGCTCCAGAAAATCATCAAAATAGAAAAATTAGAAAGCAAATTTGAAGTATTTATTAAAAGTTTTGACTAAGTCACTAATTGCAAACAAATGAGTGCAAATAATAATTTAAATTATCTATCCCCACTACACTTTTCAAGCATATGGCTTTTCTTTACAAAATGTGGGGGAAAGAGGCTCTCACGAAGTATATGTTCAAAGAGAAATGGGGATGGTAAGATAAGAAGCATCTGATGAAAAACAGATGGGACTGTTTTTTAAATGGTATTGCAAAATAGAAATTTAAGTTATATCTTGGTAAATAAACGTTTCTCTGGTTAATGGGAGGAAAGGTTTGTAAGACGGACAGAATTACAAAGAAAAGAGACATCAGGAGGTAAGAAATGCACAGGATTTGGAAACTCATATAGTCAACGAGTCAGGAAATCAAAATCCTAGATCTAAACTGTAAATCAAAATTATGACGTAGACAACCATTGTTGAATCAAGAGCCCTAGTCATATGCTTGTGAAATGGGACAAGTGATATTATCAGTTCTCGTCTGTAAAATAAGGATTGTGTTTTCCCTGCCTGCTTCCTGTTTTATCACACGTACAGCGAGGTACTGTTCACTTTATGTCTCAGAGGCACACAGGTGGAGCAGGCTGAACACGAGGTGCTGTCACGGGCCGCTTGCCGTCCCCTACGTCTTACCTGTCGCCTGCTGCTTCTCGAAAGGAACCTGGTAGGACCCAGGTCCCACATGGGCCTCAGTGCCGTCACCTTCAACCAACCTGAGCAGGCGGGGAGCCCGGTCATACATAACGTCGGAGGCCGCTAGGAGGGGCACAGGTGCTGAAAAGGGAAAATAACAGGACACAGGACGTGTGGAGCAAAAGGAACCAGACACAGGTCTGAGGAGACCCGCGCAGAACTTCCCTAAATACTGGAACTGGCGTACGGGGTTATCTCCCCACTCGCTCCTTGGTATCGGATTTCCCTCAAGTTTTCCAGCCCCGAGGTAAAAAGGAAAGGAGACCAGACGTTAGACCTCCCTCACAGTCATCACTTCACCAGCACAGAGCTCAGACGCCCCTCCGTGGAAGATTAGGGGGCAGGCGCCCGTCCCTGCGCTTCCGGCCCCGGCCCCGCCCATTTCCTTCCGCGCCGGATTCCTGAGGAGAAAGCGGGCCCTGGTTCTGGGAGACAGTCTCGAAGCTACCTTCGGCGCCGGGCTCTCTGAGCATGCGCGCACCGAGCCTCGCGCCGTCCCTCACTCACTCCCGTCCCCCTCCCCCGCGCCCCGCGTCCAGTAGAAGGAGGCGGGAGTATTTTCACTGCGGGAACTGCTTTAGGTCCCGGGTTGTTTTCCCTGTGCAGGTGAGCCCTAGAAAACGCACTCGAAGGGGTGAGGAGACTGAGGACACTAAGCTACAGCCACACGTGCACCCACAGAGCAAAAGCACCTCTGATCTTACCCCACAGATAATCCAAACTCGCGCGAGAAACCCAGGGCTGGGGCGCTGACAAGAAATGGGGGACCCGGGGACCGAGCCGAGCAGCTCACCAGCTGAAGCCAAGCAAGTGTAAGTGACTAAAAAGCTGTTTCTGTTGGCAGATGCCGGGCAATGGCAATATTGATTTGTCTCTTCGTTTACAAAGCAAAGACATCGAGAAAGTGCAGTCCACCCCCTCAAACAATGGGTCTCTTAACCTTGAGCCAAAAGGAACTTGGCTTCTCCTTAGGTCTTAAGGAGTTTGTGTCAGAATCCACGTCTCCTTGTCTCAGGCTGTTTTTCCCAGCAAGAATCCTATCCAGATTCTAAACATCCTTAAAGGCTTAGGCAAATCCTACGTTGACCACTTCTAGCCCCCAGATGAACTTTTATGTGTCCCTACTACAAGTTTTTGTAGTATTTACACTCTGTAATACATACACAATCTGCCACTGCATTTTGTGCATCAATTACTGTGGCTTAATTGTGTTATATATGTTAGAATACTCTGCATAGAAGGCTATAGGCTTCCCAAATATGTATCTGTAATACAATACTTTTTTTTCTATTCACTAGCTACCTGAATAATTATTCACTTAAAAACACTTATTGATGTACACTGTAGGTTCCATACCCGGCTAAGTTTTGGGAATACAAAGATACAAGAAAGTCTCTGTCCTCAGGTATTCTCTATGTAATGGGGAAAGAGACATATATTAATATACTCCAAAAGGAGGTGACAAGTAAGATGAATAAAATGGTAAGAAAACAAATATCGCAGTATTTTGGAAATCTCTTTTTTTTTTTATTTCGGCATATTATGGGGTACAGATGTTAAGGTTTCAATAAATGCCCATTGCCCCCTCCCCCCACAAGTCTGAGTCTCCAGCATGACCATCCCCCAGATGGTGCACATCTCACTCATTATGTATGTATATACCCGCCCTCCTCCCACCTGCCCAATACCCTATTACTATAGTACCTATGTGTCCACTTAGGTGCTGCTCAGTTAATACCAGTTTGCTGGTGAGTATATGTGGTGCTTGTTTTTCCATTCTTGGGAAACTTCACTTAATAGTATGGGTTCCAGCTCTAACCAGGAAAATATAAGATGTGCTATATCACCATTGTTTCTTAGAGCTGAATAGTACTCCATGGTATACATATACCACATTTTATTAATCCATTCTAGGATTGATGGGCACTTGGGCTGTTTCCACAGCCTTGCAATTATGAATTGTGCTGCTATAAACATTCGAGTGCAGGTGTCTTTTTTATAGAGTGTCATTGGATCTTTTGGGTAGATGCCCAGCAATGGGATTGCTGGATCAAATGGTAGATTCACTTGTATCGCTTTAAGGTATCTCCATATTGCTTTCCACAGAGGTTGAACTAGTTTGCAGTCCCACCAGCAGTGTAGGGGTGTTCCTCTCTCTCCGCATCCACGCCAGCATTCATTGTTTGGATGAAATTTCCTCTTTCTAAGTGTCTCGGAAACTAGATTCTGATCGGTGATCCTTTCTCACTGACTTTAATTCTCCCTGCATTCTTTGAGAAACCCTCATAGTTTTCTCAATGTTATTTTAACTTTATTTTCCAAGCTGTTACCAATACCTATTCAGAAAACCTAGAATACATTTACTATGACATAATAGGGAAGAAAAAAGTCATAAAGGTAAAAAGAGAAAAAACCATATGCTTTGGAGAATGATCAAGTGATGCTTGTAAATTTGGCTCCTATTTGAACATTCCTTAAGGACATCATTTGCCCTTAATGATCCAAACAAGGGGATCAACTCAGAGAGCAAATTCAGGTCTAGGCCATGGTTGCTGTAGATACTGATGCAAACTCCCACCCCTCCTTTGGCCATGCATACCTATAGCAGCCTGCTCTTTCCTCGTATATACATATTTGGGTTTGAGATTGGAAATGGAAGTGGTAATGCAAGTTTTATATGCTTTCTGGCTGACATGATTTTTAGCCACTAAACCCCCTAGATAAAAGCAATTCTTTATAGGATCTCTCCTAGCTCATTTACAAACCTTGAAAGAGAAGTTTGTGTCTCAAGTACCAGCTAGGAATACAGTGTTCCTTTGCCTTTGCTGCCTCCTCTGTGAATGTTCTTTCCTCAAGGACTTCACAGAGAGGGGTAGTTGATCAATGGCAGGACTCCAGTGTTTTTGGGTTTTCTGGCCAGATGCTATCTGAATATAGTATGAATATCATACCACCATAGTGAAGTACAACTTATAGACTCTTCATAATTTTGTAATATTTGGTCTCTCAGAATTCTACATTCTTAACAAAAACTCTTTAACACATTGACTGCCACATTAGAAAAAAAACTTTTTCTTTGGGGCCACAGTGTTTTATTATTAAAATAGAATAAAAACTTTGAAAACAAAACAATCCTAATTTAATGAAAAATTTGTTATTTTTTATTGTTTTCTGTGTGTGAATTATATGCAACTTGGAAAATAGTTCATGCGGTTGCCAAGGTGAAGAGATATGAGTTATATATGCTTCACAAGGCTCTGGGCTCAAAATTAGCATGAGTTAAATATAACTCACAGGGCAGTTAATGTGTTAAAAAGTTTTTAATATGAAAATCTATTTCTGTGATCACTGTGGCTGCTCTTCTCTGCATATTTCCCAGCTATTATTTCCTTCTTCTGGTTCAGTAACGAGAATGGTACACAGTATTTCAAGATTGGGAAATATTTTTAAGTGAGAGGAATAAATCTTTTTTATTATCTTTCATTATAGCAAATATTTCTTGAAGAGTCAGTAGTCTGGAGTGAATGTGCTGCTAAAAAAAAATATTAACACAAAATTATAATTACATATAAACACAAAATGAAGAATTTGATTCAGCATTTCTCAATTCCTGCAAAACCATTTTAATGCTAATTAACCCCACTATATGACCATTTCCACAGTGTTAGTAAGAAATAGAACCTATGTTTGAACTAAGATTTATTCGACTTAAAAATTTCGGTTCTTTCAATTTCCCTCTCATACCAGAAAAAACTTTCAGATGAAGCTTGAACAAAAACAAGGTTCAAGAAATTAAATTGATTCTTTATTGAACATGTTAGCTGCAATGAGGAACAGCAAAAAGGATACAAAAATCCAAATAAAGTAGAATTTATTTAATAATAATGTATCAATATTGCTTTATTAATTATAGCAAATGTACCATGCTAATATAAAATGTTAAAATAGGAGAAACTGGGTGTGGGGTATAGGCAGAGTGTTTCTCTGTACTTCATAATTTCCTGAAAATCTAAAACTGTTCCAAATAAAAATTTTATTTATAAAAAGGCATGAATACCAGATGAAAATTACAGCTAAGTGTTATGTAACCTAAAACAAATAATTCCAATGTTATTAAAAATATTTTGTATCATATAGATTCTTTCCTTTCATTTCATAAAACTATATAACTTTAATACCAAAACATGATCAAGATTCTACCAAAAAAGAATAAAGCAATTAATCTCTATCATTAATATATAACAAAAAATCAAATCAAATAATAGCAAATAGAATCTAACAATGCTTTTAAAGAATAATACATAAAGATGAAATAAGTATATTCTATGATTGCAAGGATGATTCAGTTTCAGACAACCAATAACATAAACTTCTACATTAACAAATTATCAGAGAAAATAATATGAGTTCATATCAACAGATGCAGAAAAGCATTTGATAAAACTAAAGAGCTATTCCTAATGAGAAGTCTACATTCTAAATTGAAGAATACAATTTAAATATAGTAAAGAATACTTACAAATTTAAAACCAGCAAATATTATCCTAAACTGCAAAGTACTAAAACTATTTCAATTAAAATTAAAAACAAATAGAGATGCCTCTATCATAATTATTATTTAAGAATGGTGTGCCTATTGAATATAGCAAAATAAAATAACTACTAATAATTGGAAAGCAAGATTTAAAAACTCTCATTTTGATTGTGTTGTGTTTGAATACCAAAATAAGACAGGAAAATATGTTAAAATTACCCTAGAATTAAGAGAATTAAGTGCAGTGGCCATACTCAAGTTAAATCTATAAAAATCAATTGTTTTTTTATCTATCCTAACAAGTACTTAAAAGAGAAATTGAAAAAAAATCCCATTTACAATAATTACAAAAACAATGACACAGAATTATGCATAGGAACAGCATAGAATCTAAATAAAGAAGAAATGAACAAATGGAAAGACATCAAAATTAAATGGGAAGACACCACCATAAAATAGCAATTTTTCCAAAATTAGTGTATAATCATATATAATTCAAGTTAAAATCCCACTTGGTTTTTGGTATAAAAATATGGGGGAATAGAGAGCTGTGAAAAAGAAGAATGGTGAAGAATAACTCTGATTTTCAAATATCAAAAGATATACTGGCTAAAAGCTATTATAATCAAATCAATGTGGTTTTGGCATAGAAAAGACAGATAGAAGAACTAAATAAAGGGAACTAGAAATGTTTGCTATAATATGTATACATTTAAGACAATTTTATAATATCTTATAAGATAATATTTTAATTGAGAAAAGGATGGACTTTTTAATAATTCTGGCACAACTGACTATCCATTTAAAAGAAAATAGAATTTATACCTATGTTGCACATTTAGAAAAATAATTTCCAGATGTTTAACATTTAAATGTAACAAATAAAACAATAAAATTTATTTGTAAAAATCTAGAAAATAGTATGTATGGCCGAGAGAGCTTCTTAACTCTAGAGACTTAGAACCTTTAAGAGAAAAGATAGTCCTTATATGACAATATCAAAATTTAAAACTACTATGTAACATAAGATGCCATGAATAAAAATCAATAGCTAGGTGACAGCTTTGAAAATATGTGCAATACAGAAAACACAAAGAAATTGAATATCTATACTATATCATATGGTCTTTAAAATTATCAAGAAAATGAAGAAATACAGTAGAAAAATAGAAAGGGATATGAAGAAGATATTCACAGAGGAACTAGTTGAAATAGCCAAAAATGCCTATTGACGCCCACAGTAGTGAGGAAATTTGTATCATGATCACAATAAAATATCAATTTTTTTATATTTCAGATACAGTTTTGCTGTTGCCCAGACTGGAGTACCCTGGCACAATTATAGCTCACTGCAGCCTCAAACTCCTGAGCTCAAATGATCCTCCTACCTCAGCCTCCCAAGTAGCTAAGACTACAGGTATGTACCACCACACCTGGCTAACTTTTTTATTTTTATTTTTTGTAAAGATCAGGTCTCTCTATATTGCCCAGGCTGGTCTCAAACTCCTGACCTAAAGTGATTGTCCCCCCTTAGCCTCCCAAAGTGCTGGGATTGCAGGCATGAGCTACCACACCCAGCCTGAAATATCACTTTTTTACCCACTAGAATGGCAAAGATTGAAAAGACCAATAAGACCTATTTTCTGGGAGGATGCAAGAAAATACAATTTCATAACAGAGGGCGAAAATGTGAGTTATCACTTTCTTGGAAAGTTATCTGTGAATATCCCTTATATATCTCATATATATCCTTAAAAAATAAACTCTATAATAAAATTATATACATCTATGCATTTATACATATATTGAAGCAAAATTTTTATTTTTTTAATTGATACATAATAAATGTACATATTTATTGGGTAAGTTTTGATACGTACAATGAATGTATAGTGATCAAATCAGGGTAATTAGCATTTCCTTCACCTCAAACATTTATCATTTGTTTGTGTTGGGAACACTCAATATCCTGTCTTCTAGCTATCTGAATATATATTAAATTATTGTTGACTGTAGACAGCCTATGGTGCTGTATAGAACACTAAAACTTATTTCTATCCGGCTGTAATTTTGTATGCCTCCTTCTTCCTCCCTCCTTTCTACATTTCCCAGCCTCTAGTAACCACTATCCTACTCTCTACATCTATGAGATCAATTTATTTAGCTTCTGCATATGAGTGAGAACATGCAATATTTATCTTTCTGTTCCTGACTTATATTTCACTTAACATAATGACCTCCAGGTTCATCCATGTCACTGCAAATGACAGGATTTTATTCTTTTTTATAGCTGAGTAGTATTCCAATATGCATATATACGACATTTTCTTTATCCATTCACCTGTTACTGAACACTTACGTTGATTCCACATCTTGGCTATTGTGAATAGTGCTGTGGTACACATGAGGGTGCAGAAATATCTTTGAAATACTGTCTTCCTTGCCTTTGACCAAAATCAACTTATATAATAAATTATCTACCTGGGAAAAGTAGCAACTGCTGATTCTTCTGTGCCCTATAGAAACTGGATCTGAGATCAAAGCAAATGCAGCAGCCTGGTCTTTCGATTGCTCTCTTGGCCTTATCATAGGTTATTATGGGTTGGGTCTTCCTAGGTTGGAAAGTTCCACTTAACAATTTACTGGTAGTTTACTTATGTGTGTGTTCCAATAAAACTTTATAAGCACTGAAATTTGAATTTCACATGTCATGAAATATTACTCTCTAAAAAAGTTTTTCAACCATCTAAAAAGGTAAAAACTATTATTTTAATAGCAGGAAAATAACAAATACTTTCTTTTTAAAGGTGTAAATGGATAGTAAAGCATTTTGCTTTTCCTTCTAAGAAAGACAAATGAAAACTAAATTCAAAGTCTTCTTAAAATATGGTATGTGCTTTTTGATGAATTTGACACTTCTCATCCTTTTAATTAAATGTGTTAAAAATGGAAACTAGGTGAGTATTGAGGTTCAAATCTCATTTCACTCAACTTACGAATTGGTAAAAATTTAAGAATATATTTACATAGCATTTTTTAAAAGCTACTGTCTTGCATTATGGTCCCAAAGGAACTTATTATAGTTTTAGAAGATTCTCAATTGTTTGGAATTCTGTCTCAGCATGGCACAGTGTTTTACTAACTATTGGTGGCTATATTTTTCTATTATGGATATAGACCATATTAAATTGACTTATAGTTCTCATTGATTGAGTCTTCTGACTGCAGTCTAAGTACTCTAAAAATAATGACCTTGAATAATACTCAGCCTTAAAAAGAAGGGCAATCCTGTCACATGCTGCAGCATGTATGAATCTATAGGACATTTTACTAAGTGAAACAAGCCAGTCACAAAAACACGAATACACTCTTGTTCCTCTTGTGAAATTTCTAAAGTAGTCAAATTCATGGAAACATAAACTAGAATGGTGGTTACCAGGGGCTGGAGGGAGGGGGAAATGGGGAACTATTGTTTAAGTAGTATAGAGTTTGAATTTTAAAAGATGAAAAAGTTCTGGAGATACATTGTGCAAAAATATGACTATACTTTAATGGTAGTGAACTATACACTTAAAAATTGTAAATTTTATGTTATGTGGTTTTTACCACAATTAAAAATAAAATATTAACTAATTACCTTAAGTTACATGAGTGCTTATGAAATGTCAGATGTTTGATGATGTATACTTCTTTTCCATGATTGTTATATAAAAGATTTGTTAACAACATATCTTTAAACATGGTAAAGGAAATTCTACCAAAGCCCAGTAAATAACAAATATCTGTCAATTACTTACTATGAGCAAGACTTTGAGAATTATGCAAAACATTTTTATAGACATGTAAATATGGATATATAGTTGTTGACACAAATCCCAAAAGCATAAATTAAATAGCAATTCAAGACACAAGAAATGTGAAGAAAATAAAAGTCACAAGATGATGTATAGTTAATAGTTAAGTGAAGCTTACTAGGTAAATCGTTAAGTTTTCACCCAACAATTTTATAAGATACCCAAACTTAACCCTTCTTTGCTCCCACCCCCACCTTTTTATGAACATATGAAAATTAAGTCTCCAAAAGTAATTATGTAATTCCAAAATCACACAAACCCAAATCTGGATAAATGTGACTCAAAAGCTTTCTATCAATTAACATCAGCTACCAGCACACTAAAAAATATATATATTTTTTTTCTTTATCTTCTCCCTCACACTCCCCCTGTTTAGCATAATGTAACCTGTAACTCCTCTTTTCCTCCTCTTATTAAAACACACACACACATACACACACAACTCTGATTCCTCCAGTTCCCAGGATAGGGACTGTGGTGGCCACACAGTGGACAGGGGAAATGCAAGGAAGAGGAGAAGAAACTTCAGCTTCCAAGGGATCCTCCCTCCCTCCCACCACCAGCCACCAAGAAGATCATTATTTAGTGGTCTTCAGTCTCATCACAAGGCTTCTTACTCTTCTCCTCTCTAATACACACTGAGAATGTTATACTAGATGGAGAAACACATGTTAGGAAATGCTTGGAATGATCCCGAGGGAGTGGTGAGCATTCTTCCCTGTGCCTGGAATACACTTTTCCAGTCACATGTGTCCTGATTTTCATTTTTGTTCTTGTATTTCTTATCTGTAGTATTAGGGGTGAACAAATCAATTTATAGACTTATTTTAATCTGCAACATTTAAGATTCTAGGAACTAAAAAATAAATCTTAAAAAAAAAGTGGGTTTTCTTGTTTTGTTTTGTTTTGCTTTTTAGTGAAGGGCACTAGATGGCACAATTTCACCAATTTATGCTAATAAAATCATGAATCCTTTTATTAATTCATACATGAAATAATTTAGCTTTATTGTTCCATCTAAATAATTTAATAGGAAACCTAACAATAAAAAGTTCTTGAAAATATGTCTAATATACTATATTTTATGTCCTTATTCATGAACACAGTAGCCAGAATTCTAGCACTGGATGAATAATTTAAGCAACCCAAAGGAAATATCTATCTATCTATAATGAAATACACCAAAAACTTATAAATATTAAATATTAATTTATAACAAATGTACATTTTGCACTACTACTGATATATAATAAAACTCTATAGTATAATAAAGTGGACTGGTGACTCCATTGTCTCTGAATGCTTAAAATCAGGTATAGAAAGCTAAGTTCAAAAATCTGAATTAGTTTCACTAACTGCTTACCTTAGGATAGTTATACCCAATTAGACCTTAGTTTCCTCATGCTTAAAAATGAAAAAGTTGATCTAGAAGCAATAGAAAATGATTATGGTCTACTCAATTTAGCATCCAGTTGACTTTTTATTTCTTAAGAGCAAAAGTCCCAGATCTGTCCAATGTTTTTACAATCATTTCATTTTCTGGAATTATTTATAGTTCAGAAAGCTTCTCAGCTTCTCAGCTACATTTCAACATGTAAGACATAGCACATCAGTCAAGCAAGCAGAAGGTACACCACACTCAGACCACGTCCTGACCCTGGCTCGGCTCATGGAGCAGTCCTGTCTAACCATCATTTGGGGAACACTCCTGCCAGACGGTGCAATCAGAAATGGAAGATCCTTACTTAAGAGGTTTTAAGAGGGAAATGCCCCCTACTGAGATATTTTTGCCTAAAGAAAAGTTATCTTTAATAAGGAAGATTGTCATTTGGGCAAAGGTAATGGCTTCTGGAAGGTCACACATGAAGAGAGAATAGGGAAAATGACATCTACCTTAGCTGTACTGTCTCAGGTCACACTACATAATTTATTAAAGTGTAAGGGAAATCTGGCTATACAGCATGTTCATTAATATGTAACCTCAAACTCCTGGGCTCAAGTGATCCTCCTGCCTCAGCCTCCCAAATAGCTGGGACTACAGGTTCATGCCACCACACCCAGCTCCTTTTTTTTCATAGATAGGAGGTCTCAGGCTGGTCTGAAATTCCCGGCCTCAAGCAATCCTCTTGCCTCAGCCTCTCAAAGTGTGGGGAATACAACATGAGCCAACATGGCCAGCCTGTGGAGACCACTGAAAGGTGACTAGTCCATAAATGGCTTCTTAATAATACTAAGTGGGCAGTTGTTTCTTATAGGAAGTTTTTCCCAGACATCTAAGGTAACTTACCTATAATAGCTGGAACGATATTCTATGTATATCTACCATAATTCTACTAACAAGTTTTACACAAAGATTTATAAGAAACTCCAAATTGTAGCCATAGTGCTACTGTTAGATCCATCAGCTCAACAAGTTAATCAGCTCTCTCTTTTTAAGGTTATTTACCGTGATATGATGGGGAAAACAGAAAACCCCATCTTTTTGTTCTTAAATACTAATCTTGTGGGGTTTTTTGGTTTGTTTGTTTGTTTGTTTTGGTTTTGTTTTTTTGAGACAGAGTATCACTCTGTTGCCTGGGTTAGAGTGCCATAGCGTCAGCCTAGCCCACAGCAACCTCAAACTCCTGGGCTCTAGCAATCCTCCTGCCTCAGCCTCCCAAGTAGCTGCAACTACAGGCATGTACCACCATGCCCAGCCAATTTTTCCTATATATTTTTGGTTGTCCAGCTAATTTCTTTCTATTTTTTTAGTAGAGACAGGGTCTCACTCTTGCTCAGGCTGGTCCCCCAACTCCTGACCTTGAGTGATCCTCCCACCTCAGCCTCCCAGAGTGCTAGGATTATATTATATAGGCATGAGCCACCACGTTCTACCTCTGGTATTTCTGATATACCGAGATAATAAATTTCTTTAGTGTTTAAACCAGTTTAGGTCAGAATTTCTGTTACAGAAAAAAATATTTTAACTGATGGGCTTATTGATACATAACTAGTATAATTGCATCTAGAAACACAGTATTAGGTAAAAGAACACTGAGCACTGAAATGAAAGACTTGAGATAATATCATCATCTGGTGATCTGGTCATTTACTACCTACACAACCTTGGGCAGGTCACCTAGTTTCAATGACCCTCTATGGCCTCAATTAAAAAGTGGAAGTAATAACTCACTGGGTTATTGTGAGGATTAAATATGATATGAAATATGAAATTATGTAGCATAGTGTCTGAAATACAGTAATTATTCAATAAAGTTAGTGTCCCAAATAAAATATAAAGCCAAAGAGGAAAATATGTTAAGGAAGAAAAAAGTTAATCAAGAAAAATGGGAAAGTTTTCTTTAAGGGTTTTTTCTTTAAAGTAAAGGACTTCAGGGAATTTCACCCCAAAATATTAATATGACTCCTTGGTATAAAGACTATTTTTAATTAAAGGCTCTAAGAGATCAATAGGAGTTAGAAAGGGCTTTCTCTCTATCTGCATAAAACCAGAAGGATCCATCAAAAAAGAACAATTACCTTTCCCTCCCCTCCCTGTTATCTCAATATAATCCAGGAAAGATCAAGAATGCAACCAGACCAGGCCCAACCCTGGGAATCATTTACAAGTCACCCTCTTGCCCCCATCCATTCATTCTCCCAAGTATCTATTCATCCTCCCTAGTTACCATTTATTGCCCCCAAACAGAATTTCCTATATTCCTCATCTCTCCCTCCCTTCTAAAATGAGGGTACATAAACATCTGGACACCGTTGGGTAATCACTATGATTCTCCCCATGTAATCTGCCTTATTGTGAGTTGATCTTTCAGAGGAACTTCCAGGGGCAAAGGGGAAAGATATAGTAAGGATAAATGTTGAGAATATTGAATATTATAGTCAAATAATGGATTTTATCATTATATGATTTTCAGATATGGTTCATCATTAAAGTACACAAAACAGAAAAAGACACAATTTTTATATATTATGTGTGAGCTATGTTAGAAACCAAATTCCAATGTTAAAAGAAAGATAAAATGATGTCCTAAAGTCATAAAAAACATATTGCAACCAACACAATTAATATGACAAATGTACATTGACTGATCATTTTTTCCATTATGTGGTCTGATTGCTTTACTCAAATGTTAAAGAATTCACTAGTTGTTTTGAGATTAAAGAGAGATATTTAATGTTAAAAATAACCAATTATGAAGCATCTGTTATGCTTCAAGAACTGAGTCCTGTATGTACTCCAGCTATCTATGTCAGTTTGCTATGGTTGCTACATACAGCAAAGTAACCAAAACCTGGGTGGCTGAAACAACAGAATTTATTGTTTCAAAGTTCTGGAGGCTAGAGGTCCATAGTCAAGGTGCTAGCAGGGTTGGTTCCTTCTGACGGATGTGAGGGAATAATCTGTCCCAGGCCTTTCTCCTTGGCTTATAGATGATCCCGTTCTCCCTGTGGCTCTCCACGTCATCTTCCCTCTATGCATGCCTCTGTCCAAACCTCTTCTTTTGAGTACCCCAATCATATTGGATTAGGGACCCTTGATGACCTTATTTTAACTTGATTACCTCTGTGAAGACCCTCTCTCCAAATAAGGTCATATTCTGAGGTACTGGGGGTTAGGATTTCAATATATAAATTTGGGGAGGACACAATTCAACACATAACACTATCTAAGACACATCCTCTGCCCTAAAGGAGTTTTCAGCCCAATTAGTGATATATAAATTTATTATATTATATTTATGAAACTTTGATTTTTAAGAGAAAAGAAGAAGTTGCTTTTATAATAATGATACTGTTAACTACTCACATTGCATTAATTGTATTCTCAGGTTTTTGTTATAATACCAAGTTGATACTTTCTAAAAATAATATGCTTAAAGACAAGTCTCAATATTTGCTTGAATTAAATTATTATTCCCTTTATCTTGGGAAACTGATTTAAATCTAAATGTATCCCACTGCAGTTATACATTTATTTAATTTCTCACAAATTTAAGAATGTGTCTAATTTTCTTCCCTTTTTAATTCACATATCTAATTAAATTGAGCAAATTCAGAAAAAGATTATAAGGACACTATCTCTGTAATGACATGAGAAATTTCTATCTAATACCAGTTAATATGGTTAAGAAATTTAAAGGCACAGTGGCTCACGTGTGTTATCCTAGCACTCTGGGAGGCTGAGCTTGGAGGATTGCCTAAGCTCAGGAGTTGGAGACCAGGCTGAGCAAGAGCAAAACCCCATCTCTACTATAAATAGAAAGAAATTAGCCAAACAACTAAAAATAGAAAAAAAATTAGCCAGGCACGGTGGTGGTGCGTGCCTGTAGTCCCCGCTACTCAGGAGGCTGAGGCAGGAAGATGGCTTGAGCCCAAGAGTTTGAAGTTGCTGTGAGCTAGGCTGATGCCACAGCACTCTAGCCCAGGCAAGAGAGTGAGACTTTGTCACAAAAAAAAAAAAAAAGAAAAGAAATTTAAAGTTTGATCAACAAAAGTTATGTTTTATTTTCATATTATGAAATGCTAAAACATTGCCAATACTTAGGAATTTGTATCTAGTTAAATACATATAAATACAGAAAATATTGAAGCTGAGGTATAGATTAGGAAGTCAGTATACAAGAGGTATTAAAACCATATTAATGGTCAGCTGACATGCGGAGACAGAGAAAACCAGTGCCTGCATATCAAAACAAATCATGATTAATGATCTGAAGGCCAAAGAAGAGGAGCTTATGAAGGAAAATAATAAAATTGGTTAGGCCTATAGGCATACTTGATTAGAGCTAGAATAAATAATGTTCGGGAAGCCAAGAGCAGAAAGGATAGAGTTTTGAGAGGTGCTTCACCAACAATCAGAAGAGAGATTTAGCGCACACACACAAAAAAAATAATAATAATGATACTTAAAGGGCTCCACTGAATTTGGCAATTTTAATACATTATTTCAGTGAAGACAATTTCAGTCTTGAGGTGAAGGGGTTGGGGATTGGGCAGAAGCAAGATTGCAGTGGGTTGAACAGTAGGAGGGACACTTCATTTTCTGAGACAGGAGGGAAGAAAGTAAAGATGAGTGCAGATGTTTATCACAATGGAAATATGCAAATACGGGGACATGGAAATAATGCAACAGCAGGGTACCTAAGCTCAAGTGAAATAATTACAAGGAAGAATGATACTTAAGAGATTTCCTAAGACATCCTTTTACACAATCAAAATAGCTCCTGATGTCCAGGAAATATCTGATGACACTAACCTCAAATGCAGCTATTAGCAAAACATTAATTTACTTTCTGCAATTGTCAGTACAGAGTGCTGCAGTGGGTGGTCTCACCAGAATTTGAATATTGGGTAAATAAGATTGTACTTGAAGATATAAACTATATATTTAAATATAATCGATTTATAGGCAAAGTCACTTGAAACACAGAATTCCTGCCAAGTCAAGTCAGCAAGATTTGATTATACCTTATTGAATATATTAACATAGGTAATGAATGAATGTATCCATGAAAAGGAGAGGGAGGTGTTGATTGGCCATGGAAGTAGAGTAAAAGGGAAATCACCCAGGCAAGCCCACCCAAGCACAGGGATAAATATGTTTGTCTTGCTGACAAAGCTATTCCTGCTGGAAGAACTGTTTAAGTTAGGGTTCTCCAGAGAAACAGAACCAATAGAATCTGTGTGTGTGTGTGTGTGTGTGTGTGTGTGTGTGTGTGTGTGTGTAGAAAGAGGTAGGAGAGAGAGAGACAGAGAGAAAGATTTTAAGAAATTGGCTCACACAATTGTGGGGCCTGGTACCTCCAAAATCTTCAGGATAGGCAAGCAGGCTATAAACCAAGGAAAGCGTTGCAAGGAAGAGTTGCAGTTCAAAGGCAGTCCACTGGAGAATTCCTTCTTCTCTGGGGGACCTCAGTCCTTTTCTCTTAAAGCTTGCAACTGGTTGGATGAGATCCACCCACATTATGGAGGGTAATCTGCTTTACTCAAAATCTATTGATTTGAATGTTAATCTTATCCAAACAATATCTTCACAGAGACACTTAGAATAATGTTTTATCTGGGTACTGTGGCATAAACACATAAGTTTAAGTTGACACATAAACTTAATCACTGCAAGAATAAAGAAAATATATACCCAGAAATTATTATAATTCAAGATATAATAAACAAAGGTATTAGTCTGCTCAGAATTCCATAAAAAATATCATAAACTCAGTTCCTTTAACAACAGAAATTTATTTTCTCACAGTTCTGGAGGCTGGGAAGTCCAAGAAAAAGGTGCCAGGTGATTCAGTTCCTGGTGATGGCTCTTCTCCTGGCTTGTAGACAGCTGCCTTCTTGCTGCATACTCACCTGGCAACGAGTGAGAGTGAGGAGAAGGAGTAGAGAAGATGAGAAGGAGGAAGGGAAGAGCAGAGCAGGAGGAGGGGGAGATCTCTTCCTTTTCTTCTAAGGTCACCAATCTTATTGTTTTAAGACCCCAACCTTATGACCTTCTTTATCTCCTAAAAGCACTATCTGCAAATAGAATCACAGTGGGAGACAGGTTCCAACATACATGTATGAATGGGGACATAATTCATTGCAACAGATAATTCATGGACATAATTCATAGCAACAGATTACCATGGGAATTAAGGAAAAACACGACATGATTTCTAATTAATCAATGACATGTAAGCCTTGAAGCAGAAAGTTAGAAAATAAAAGTTGTTAGGTTTATAGAATAATTAGCTACTATTCTATAATTTTTTCATTTGTGTATTGTCTTCCCAACCAGGTTACCAAATTTCTTCTGGTCAGGGATCCTTAGTAAAATTATAATAAAAAAGAAACTCTCAACATCACATGCCCTAAAAAGGGATTATAACTAAACTCCAACAGGTTTCCCAGCAAGTAGGCAGAATGTCCCCTTTCCCATGACCTTGTGGGAATTTCTAAAAATTTGGCCTTTGCAAGAATAGTGTATTCTGATTTTTACAGAGTCTTAAAAGTAGGCATAATATGATAGCTTATATCATATTACTGTTTGTATTTAAGGGGGAGATTGTGAGGCCATCAAAAGAAGTAGCAAGTGATTTGGTTAAGGTTACACCTACCTGTGAGAATCAAGGACCCAGGGTTAAGGTAGGGAGGGACCATCTTCATTTAACTGACAAACAGGTCCTTGTTGAGGACCTCTTGGATGCTAAGTCTTGGGGGAACTAAAGAAACAAAGACAAGAAGACACCATCCTTAGTGTGAAGGATCTAACAGTTCAGTGCAGGAGGTAGGCAAACCACAACTCTTAGGTCAAATCCATTACACTGCCTGTTTACAATACAGTTTCATTGTAACACAGCCACTATCATTTGTCTTCATGTTGTTGTTGAGTGCTTTCCACCTACAACCACAAAGTTACATAGTAGCAACAGAAATCACACTGCCTACAAAGCCGAAAATATTTATTATTTGGCTCTTAACAGAAAGTTTACTAATCCCTGGTTTAATGACTTCTTGCTTTCATGCTCACTTCATGGAAATTATGTCTGTAGTTTTGGTTTTGAAAGTATTGTATATTTATATGTTGTAAATTTGAAAGTATATACTTGAAAGTATACACATACACACAATACTACTTTTCTGAACCATTTGAAAGAAAGTTGCAGACATCATGTGCCTTTACCCTTGAATATTTCAGTGTATATTTCCTAACAAGGGAATTCACCTACATAACCACAGTAAAATGATCAAAATCAGGAAAGTTAACCTTGGATAATATTATCTAATCAGAAGATTATTTAAATTTTACCAATTGTTCCAATAATGTCTTGTATAGCAAAAAAATCTGGTCCACGATCCAGTCTGAGTCACACTTTATGTTAAGTTTTTACATCTGTTTTATCTCCTTTAATCTGAAATAATTCTTTAGTCTTTCATGTTACTGATATTTTTGAAGAATATAAGCCAGTTATTTTGTAGTGTATCCCTCACTTTATATTTATCTGATGATTCCTCATGATCTGATTCAGTTTATGTGTTTTGGGCAGGAATATTATAAGTGTTATTTCGTTGTCATCAGTGTTTCTCATCAGGATGCACTTCATATCTATTTGTCACTGTGATATTATTAATGTAAAATATGTACAATATTTAGTCTTTGACCCCATATGACTCCTAAAATTCTGAGAATCTACAAAGTCTTCCTTAGTTGACTGGTAGTTGGCAGCCCCTAGGTAGCTGCAGGGATGGGCTGGTCATCAGAAAGACCCAGGCAGCATTAGAGGGTTGGACCCTTTCAGCCCAACCTCCCCCTAACCTCCAGGGAGGGGAGAGAGGCTGAAGGTTAAATTGATCAGCAATGGCCAGTGATTTAATCAGTTGTGCCTACATAATGAGCTTCCATTCAAACTCAAAAGAACTGAGTTTGGAGATCTTCCAGATAGCCAATGCAAGGTTCCTAGAGGGTGGTGCAATTGGGAGGACACGGAAACTCCATGTCCTTTCCCACACTTGACCCTATGCATGTCTTTATCTGTAACCTCTGTAATATTGATATGGAAAATGTCGGTCGCGGGACTGCGGCTGCTTGCCGCCTCCCCATCGCTCTGCATCTCCACGGGCCAGTGCTGCCCGTGGCCAGTTGGAGGGCGCTGCTGGGGCCTGGCCCCACCGCAGAGAGCCGCATGGGGCCCCAGTGCTGGAATGCCCCCAGGTCCGCAGGCCACTGCCTGTTTCTGGCCATGCTGCTTGTGTGATCCTGATTGGGTAATTTTTGAATCCCACTGTTTTTGATTAGATGTTAAATCTTATTGTTGATTGGATGCTAAAGCTTGTTGTTGATTGGATGTTAAAGCTTGGTGTTGATTGGATGTTAAAGCTTGTAGTTGATTGGATGCTTTTTGAGCCCTACCAAGGGTATAAAAGCAGGAGGAGAACCAGGAAGGGGGGCAGAAGGGTCAGAAGGTTGGAAGACATGAGGAGATCTGTAACACTAGGTGTGCTGAGCCTGCTGGGGAGGAATAAAGGCTATTCTCCAACTCTTCATGTGCCACTTGGTTTTTTCCCCTGGTCAAGAACTGTAACACTAGCTGTACACATTGCCGCAACGATATCCTTTATGATAAACCAGTAAATGTGTTTCCCTGAGTTCTGTGAGCCACTCTAGCAAATTAGTTGAACCCAAGGACGGAGTCATAAGAACCCCAATTTGTAGCCAATCAGAAACACAGGTGAAACAACATGGAGCTTGTAATTGGCATCTTAAGGGTAAGAGACAGTTTTGGGGACTGGGCCCTCAAACTGTAGGATCTCCAGATAGATAGTATCAGAATTGAATTGAATTGGAGGACACCTAGCTAGTATCTGCTGCAGAATTGCTTGGCGTGTAGGGGGAAAACCCCACAAATCTGATCACAGAAATATTCTGTGTTATGGTGTGAAAACAGGAAAAATAGTTCATGTTTTATCTACTAAGTGCCGTACACTAAAATAAAATCCTAAGCCCTGCTGACTAAATGGGCCCCCTCTTGGCCAAGCAAACCCCAGAAAAACCTTAAAACTGCATTTCCAGCCATGAAGGGGAGGGAGATCAAACACACCTCACTAAACTTCCTCCCTTTTAGAGTTTAGACTAATTATAGTCAGGCCCTAAGACCATGCAAGACAAAGGTGAAGTCAAACCTGCAGCCCATCAATTTACTTAACAGATCACTTTGAGTCAGTATATTGTGGCTTGTTCTGTGATTAACAGACTTCTTTACCCAAACACTCCTCCCCACTAACTCAAAGTCTTTCAACAAAGCTTTATTTCTTTTCTTTTTTTGTTTTTGGAGACAAGGTTTCATTCACTCTGTTGCCTGGGCTAGAGTGCAGTGGTGTCATCAAAGCTCACTGCAATCACACACTCCTGGGCTCCAGTGATTCTCCTGCCTGAGACTCCTAAAAAGCTGGGACTACAGTTGCCCCTGCCACCATGCTCAGCTAATTTTTCTATTTTTTGTAGAGATGAGGTCTTGCTCTTGCTCAGGCTGGTCTCAAACTCCTGGATTCAAGCAATCCTCCTGCCTCCCAAAGTGCTAAGATTACTGGTATGACCCACTGTACCTGGCCCAAGATTTATTTCTGTTTATTTATTTTTTTTTTTGAGAATATTACAGGGGTGCAAATGTTTTGGTTACATGAATTGCTTTTGTGCAGTTTGAGTCAAAGTTATTAGTATGTCAATCACTCAGATAGGGTACGCTGTACCTGTTAGATGTGAATTTACCCATCCTCTCCTCCCCCTTCCCACCTACTGATTTCCACTGTATTTTACCACCATATATGTTGATCAATTAGTTCCAATTTAGTAGTCAGTACATGTCATCTTTGTTTTTCCATTCTTTTGATACTGCACTGAATAGGATGGTCTCCAGTTCCATCCAGGTTGTTACAAAAGATATTAATTAACCATTTTTTATGGCTAATACTCCATGGTATACATATACCACATTTTATTAATCCACTCATGTATTGATGGGCACTTGGGTTGATTCCACATCTTTGCAACTATGAATTATGTTGCTATAAACATTCGAGTGCAAGTGTCTTTTTTATAAAATGTCTTTTTTTCCTTTGATACCCAGTAGTGGGATTGCTGTATCTAATGGTAGGTCTGCTTTTAGTTCTTTGAGTTATCTCCATACTACTTTCCATAGAGGTTGTACTAGTTTGCAGTTCCCCCAACAGTGTATAAGTGTTCTGTTCTCTCAAGATCCACGACAGCACCTGTTGTTTTGGGAGTTTTTGATAAAAGTAATATTCATTGGAGTTAAGTGATATCTCATTGTAGTTTTGACTTGAATTTCCCTGATGATTAGAGACATTTCGCTAGATTAACCAGAAACAGAAAGGAAAGGACCATAATAAGCTCAATCAGAAATGAAAAAGAAGATATTACAACTGATACCATGAAAATACAAAATATAATCTTGGAGTAGTATAAAAATCTCTATGCACATAAACTTGACAATGGTGAGGAAATAGATAAATTCTTGGAAACATACAACCTCCCTAGGCTCAATCAGGAAGAAATAGAACTCCTCCTAAACAGTCCAGTATCAAGTCATGAAATCGAACCAATATAAAAAAATCACCCAACAAAAAAAAGTCCAGAACCAGATGATGTCACAGCTGAATTTTATCAGACCTGCAAAGAAGAACTGGTACCTTTACTTCAGAAATTAATTCAAAACATAGAGAAGGAAGGAATCCTCCCCAACTGGTTTTACAAAGCCAATATCACATTGATACCAAAGCCAGGAAAGGATACAAGAAAACTACAAGCCAATATCCCTTATTAATATAGACGCAAATTTTCTCCATAAAATTCTATCAAACTGAATTCAATTGAACATCAAAAAAATAATCCACCACAATTAAGTGGGCTTCATCCCAGAGCTTCAAGGATTGTTCAACATACACAAATCTATAACTGTGATTTACTGCATAAATAGAAGCAAACACAAAGACCATATGATCTTCTCAATGGATGCAGAAAAAGCATTCAACAAAATTCAGCACCCTTTTATGATAAGAACTCTTAACAAGATAGGCATAGATGGAACATACCTCAATATTATAAAAGCCATATAAGACAAACCCACAACCAACATCATACTAAATTGGGAAAAATTGAAAGCTTCCCCACTTAGA